CCCCCCCCCCCCCCCTGGGGGGGGGGTGGGGGGGGGGGGGGGGGGACTGTTTTTTTTTAAGTGGGAGGAGGGGGAAGAGGGCAGAGGAAGAGACTACTTGACTATCTGAAAAGCTTTTGCTTATCAGACAGTCGACTAATCACTTACATCCCTATTCAGGACAGCCAAGTATTTTGACTAGCTCTAAAAGCCTTGAAATAGTATTTCACAAATTCCTTCATAATCCTCAAAATTAAAACACATTCTTGTATCTCATATATTTTAAACCTCATCAAGAGCCTAAGATGTAAACTTTACACTAAAGCCATATTTGTACGATTCTTTACCCACACTAGGGATGTTAGGAAGCATGTAATCCAGTAACCATATAGCCGACAATTTTGTCAGTTACACAATTAACTGCTGCAGATCTGCACCGAAAGGAGCTTGGGAGCAGGCGTGCAGTCAAGCTGGCTCAGTCCCAACTTGTGCCGGGTCCCAGAAGCTACTCCCGCTGCAGCTTCCAAAATATTTTAAATTCAGACAGGCAGAGCCGTAGGGGGTTGTTGCGTGTAGCCAGTAACGTTAACCGATAAACATCTGCTTATCAGTTAATTGTTTAACCGGATACACCATTACATCCCTAACCCACACATTAAAATCCCATTGTATTCCACTGACTTTAATGGATAATTATTTTATAACAAGACGACAATGCTAATTGGCAGTCACAGGGTCAGACCCTATAGCTCTTCAATAGCATTTCCCCTTGGCTGTTGCACTTTGATCACACTTCAGGTTGGTTAGAGTTTACTAAAACAGACTGAGAAAGATCATAAGTTAAACTCCATATTAAATATAGGGAGACAGCATGATTTACTCCTTGAAACAGGAAATTGAGTCTGAAGATTTGAACTCTGACTGCCACTTGCATGCCTCTATTAATCCATTTCACAGTGCTAGGAGAACCCCGACTGCAAAGTAGGATACAGCAAAGACATAAACAAAACAAAAAATGCAGATCAGAAGTACAATCACTACTCTGCTCAATCACTTTTATGTATCACCTGGGCACTAAGTTACGAAAACTAAACTGCCTGCTTCCCATGGTACACCACATAGCAAGATGAATCGTAGCCATGGGCCAGGGTTCAAAGTCAACTTAATTTAGACTTTGAACTACAGCACGCTCAATTTTAAGCCTTTACAAAAAGGCATTAGAATTCATATTTTAGCACTTCTCTGCTGAAGAACCTACAGCACCATCAGCTGAACACTACTACTTCAATATAAGATGGTTGAGCAAATCTGAAATGTTACCAATAAGTCATCTTATTAAGTTGCTAAGTATGAGGCCAAAATTTGAGAATGGAAACCAGTTTATGAAGAACAAAAAGCCATGCTTAGATTACTATCAGTTTCTCTTCAGATATTAGTGAAATCACGTTTGGGGAAAAAAGCAGCACAGCAGTACTGGAAATGGCTGCTGCTGAAATTTACTGAAAGAACTACATTGATGTTTCTGTATTCTACATGAAGATTCAATAGCTACATTTTTTAAAGTCGCAAACTCGAATCATTTACTTCACTACAAGCCTGTACCAGCTAATTGGAATTTGGCTTACAATAGCGAGTCAGTTTTACTGAAAGATCAGACTTACTCTGACTACTAAAGCAGTGAGGATTATCATCACTAATATCTCTGTTTAGACTTACAACTCCTCTTTCCAGCCCATAAGCAACAGCTCTTCCTTCCTATCAAGTTCTAGTAATGGTGGCATGTTCTAGTAAAAGATGCTAAATTGTATCTCTGGTATACCATGTATCATGACTAAGTTTTATGCAAGCATTTTTACAAGTCTGCAGGCTTTCCTTTGGCTCTCTACTTTTATACAGCAACACTGTGCTGAAGAGCAAAAAATGAAAGGTTAAATTCCATACAGCATCTGTCAAAGTACTTGGCTCATGAACTCTGAAGCTGGAGGAACATATTTGTTGCTGTACTGGTCTTCAAAGTAGACAGCCAAAGAGATCATCAGGATTTTATAAATAACTATTAGTCAGACCCAACTTACAGCTGCAATTACCTTCACTCAAAGTAGTAAACGAACAGTAAACTCTGGAGGACTTCTGGCTGTGTGTAAAAAGCCAACACTATCAATACAAAACTTATCTCGGTCTTAAAACGAATTACTAAACAGAATTGGTGGCACAGATATAGTCCATAATTCACAAAATACCATTGATAAACAGATGATCAAGCCATCATAAAGCAGGAAAATTAGAGTTCAGGCTAACATACTGTTAGCTCCAAATGACTTCCTTTTCTTCACATTCCCCTAACAGTTACAAGGCAGACATTCTAGCTTTGAAGGAAAGTGCCTAGTGTGAAGTCTACTCAGTTTAAAAAAATAAAATAAAAAATGATTCTAGGTGCCTGCCACCCATGTTTGTTTTAGGATTACTTCTAAAAAATGTTGCTCTATAGACGTTCAGACAGACTATCACAAACAGGAAACTTAAGTGATGTTAGTGGCTAGGATGCTAGGCTTGGACTTGGGGGAAGATGTGTCTGATTCCTTGCTCTGCCACAGACCATGGACAAGTCACTACATCTCTCTTCATGGCTCGGTCCCTCCCATCTGTAAAATGGGAAAAAGCAGTATTTTCCCTACCTCACGGTGGGGAGGGTGTGTGTGTGCATGTGTGTGAGGGTAACTACATTAAACATGGATTGCTGAGATATTATAGGAATGGAAGTCAGATAAGGATCTTATACAAAAATGCACAAAGTAAACCAACTAAAAATCATTTCTTCCCCTCTAGTTACTGTTCTCATCTTGGGTATTACTTACAACAAGATTCAGGTGAGATTTAAATTGATATCCCTTTTAATTCTCAATTAGTTAATGGTGACCAGCAAAGACAGGAGTTAGATTTATATCACATTTGCTTAAAATAAGAATGTTAAGAGGCAGATAACTGACTAATCATGTAGTTGATACAATTTTTATCAACTACATGAATAGTTGATATGGGGAAGTGCTCTGTCCCAGCTCGTGCCGGTCCAGGAGCTACCCTACTGCGGCTCTGCAGTTTAAATGTAGGAGGAGCCAGGTGTGCACACAGCTTAGCTCCTACATTTAAACTGCAGTGCCACAGCAGGGGTAGGTCCCCAACTGGTACGAGCCAGGACAGAGCTGGGACCACTGCAGCCCTGCATTTTAAATGTAGTATAGAGCCTAGCAGCTCTTACTATGTTTAAAATGCAGAGCCTCAGGGGTCCCGGTCTGGCGTGAGCCAGGACTGAGCTGGGTTTGCTCAATCCCAGCTCATGCCAGGTCCAGCGACCTCTGCCTGTGGCCAGCCAGGATCACTGCAAACAGAGGCTGCTCCAGTACCAGGTCCAGCAGCCTAGGCCCTGTCTGTGAGGGTCCCAGCAGGGAGCTGGGACCCCCCCACATGAACAGGGTCTGCTGCTAGAGTATCTTTCCCATCCCCCCCTGCGGGGGGCAGAGGAGGTGGCACTTCACAGATGTGCTGGGGGGAACCAGCTTTTTAGCTGGTTCTCCCCCAGCACCAGCTCCTGTCCCCCCCCTTGCTGCTTCTGATACAGGGGCAGCAAGGGGGAGGAGGAAGCGAGTAGTCAACTTGACTACTCACTTACACCCTAACTTAAAAGATTTTTATTTTAACTTTTTCTGTTTTCTTTTACATTAAAAATTCAAGTCTCGTCTGCCCTAGAAGACTCTGGGTATGTCTACATTTCCATTGAAGGCATGACTGCAGTACATGCAGACTTGGGATGTAAAATATAGTCTAAAAACATAACCATCTAACTGCTAAAAATCCTAGCAGTTACAGGCACTTCAGGCTCTGTAGTATAAAGCCATTATATAAAGGTAGAGCCCTCACCGCAGGGTAACAACCATCTCCCTGGGAACGAGGCGTAACTGTAACGGAAACTGATAAGTTGATGCATCACTAATGCAAACATACCCAGGCTAGTTTTATTCTACCTAGCTCAGGTACCAATACCAGTGAAGCCACAGAGGCATGTGCTAGCCACTTGAGCATGTGCCCAGACTCCCCAGCAGGCTTGTACTAGGACAACTAGCTCATGCTACTACAGCTTCACATTCATTGATGTCTAAGATTAAAGCTATCTTGGGTATGTCTATACACTGTGGTGCAGACATACCTCCTGATGACAGGACATGACAACACTTAAGAGGGAAAGGCCATTTCCAGCCGATGTGTTTGAGACTGACTCTGGCAATGAACATTATGAAGTTTCACCAACTCATTTTTTCATTTCAGCTGTGAGAGCATAAAGCTTACTGCAGAGCCTTCAGCGAGAGATTTTCAGCAGTTACATGATTACCCTACTACACTATTTTTAACATCTCTACAGGAGACATGTATAAATTCAAGTGAAATTTTTCATATGGAGTCTTAAAAGCCTACACAAATTTCTATTTTTATTTATTTTTTGCCTAAACTCCTTAGGAATACCTATTTAAACAACTGAGATATTTTAATATGTACGCATACATTTTTAAAGGAATCTCATTTACAGAATGGCTTATACATTTTTCCAAACCCACCCGTCTTCCATGCCACAGTAGAATATTAACTACCAATAGTTAAGTACTTAACGTGTGTTACTTCACCTGCCCATAGTGCTTCTCCAGATGGAAACAGAAATGTAGTTGCGCTCCACCTGGTAAGCTCTGCATGTAGTAGTCATTGGGGATGCTCTACGCCGCACAAAGCATAGGTGAAGGAGAGAGAGAGGAGAAATAGTGACCCATCAGCAACAGATGATCAGGTCAGTTCACGGGCTCTTGCCCATAGCTGTTCCTTCCTGGTTCTAGTAGTAGAGTGATTCCACTAAGGTAGTTCTCAAGTTGTATGGCCTTGAAGCAGCTCACATAGAAGAGTAAGTGTGTCTGTCTATAGATGTATTTAGTATGGCAAGTATGCTTTTATCCATCATCTCATCTCTCCCACCATTCCCTGTTTCTTTTTTCCTGTGGGACCTCTCTCTACCACTGGTGGCCCTAGCAGTTGGAAGAAGCAGCAAATCTAGCCACCTGCTAAAGAGGTTGCTCTGCTATCTAGGAGAGGAAACAGGAGCTACCCTGGAGTTGGAGATGCCAGTCACCAGCTGGAGCAGGCAGTAAGACCTGTTACAGGCCTCAAGAGACTGGACAACTGTAGAAGCAGCTGCAAGCATGGACGAGTTAGCTGTCCATAGAGCAGTGAGTGTACTGCTGCACTGAAGATTACAGAAGTTTCACTCTGTTGGACAAGAGGACCACCACTAGAGATGAAATCTTAAGAGAATTTTAGAAAGAACTACCAAGAGCGTGTTGACTGAAGGTGGGGAGGAGAGGGAAAGTGGGTGGAAACCTAGATTTCTTACATTCTTTCAAGTCATTGGTCTGAGCAAGAATCACCATCAACAATCCTCTCCAGATGAGAGCTATGTACCTTCTTCATGGAACATTTTAATAAGGAGGAGGAATTAACGCCCATGTTCTGGGCAAATTCTAATAGCAATGATTCATCGCAGCACTGACAGACTGAATAATTGCTTCACTAGCAGACACCATCACACCACTCCCAACATTTGTTAAATGTGTTTCAAACGTGTTTCAAACAAATTGCAACCCAATACCCTTTAATAGGGGGAAAAAAACCATAGCTTTATCCAATGAATGATAGGAAGAAATAAATTAACAGTGCAAACAAGGAAACAGACATTGTACAAGACCAAATGCTATCCATTCACAATTTAGGAGATCACTGTTATTTACCTTTCCTTTCTCTGAATACTGAAGGTGCTAGTGCACTTCGCACTAGAGCGTACGTACACCATATCGGTTACTCACGTACGCTATCACCCAAATGACGCCTGCATTTCAGGGATACTGAGTGTAAAACAACTTTAGGATTCTTATGAACAAGAGGCACTAGAATCATGTAAGTTGGTGCTCTGGCTACTGAAGATAAAAAATGAGTGACGGATTGTTTCACTTCAAATCCCAAAGGGAATACTGGGTAATACTAAACCCATGCACACTCTGGTCTTTCCCGGTCACGGCACAGCAGCAGGGATGAGCCACAGCCGCCCCCTGAGTGTCTGTCGAGGAACAGACCATGCGACCCTCTCAGCAGAGTGACCGGCAGAGCGTCAGCACCTGCCCCGCGGTTTCTTTGTTGCCGGCTGCCCCTGGGGGTGGGAATGCC